TTTGTTTTTTTAAGCTCTACAAAATGGTTTGGAAAGAAATTGCTAAATTTTATGTTTTTTGGGTCAAAAATAGGAAAAACCTATTTTTACCCCATAAAACCCCCCGTAAACCCCCGTTCCCATGGTCCGATCATGCTGGATCGCGAACTCGTTCGAATAAACGTACGTTTACACGTTTGTACCAAATTTCATCAAAATCGGATCATTTTTGCTCGAGTTATCGTGCTGACGGACACATATATATATATATATATATATAAATATATATATATATATGAATTTGAACGGATGGTGTTTTTGGCCTCTAGGGACCTCAAAACGAAAAAAAAAATCGGTCCCGCGTCCAGGTCTTACCATGAGTACTACGGTAATAGCTTATTCCCTATATGGGAAATTCGCTAAAACTGGGAAAGTGCAATAGATTTTTAAAAACAAGAATCTGCAGTTAGTTTACTAAAAACTTGAAGGATAACGATGTAATCATCCAGAGTCGAAAGGCTTGCAAGCGCTCTTCATGGAATGGTTCAATGCAATGGTATAGGGACATCGGCGTTAAGCAACATCGTACTGAGAAATCCGAGCTGAGGTAGAGCGCACCCTTAAATAACATTAATTTTAATGAGTACTTAGGTTTGCTGCTACAGGGAAAGTATTAAGGTATTTTTCTTTATTATCAGGCTCTTCTTTCTTTATTGAAATGTTGATAGCTCAGTATGCAACAGTTTATTTATTCTCCGTAAGAATAACATGGCAATTTAAAAAAATTTAAATTTTTTGTATTATCCATGTAACGGTTAGGCATAAAACAACGCTTCAATATACAAAATTATTTATTTTTTAAGATCTACAAAATAGTTAGAAAAGAAATTGTGAAATTTTGTGTCTTTAGGGTAAAAAATGGGAAAAACTAATTTTTTCTCCCATAAACTCCTTTGCCCATGTCCGATCATTGGTTGGCAAACTCGTTTGAATAAACCTAGGTTTGCACGTTTGTACCAAATTTCATCAAAATCGGATCATCTTTGCTCGAGTTATCGCCCTAACGGACACATATACCTACAGTATATGAATTTGAACGGAGGGTGTTTTTTTACCTCTAGGGACTTAAAAACGAAAAAGTAAATCATTCCGGATCTAGGCCTTACCATGAGATCTACGGTAATAGCTTATTCCCTATATGGGAAATTCGCTAAAACAGGCAAACTTGTTTATTCATTATTAATTATTTATTAACAATTTACTCTTTCTCTATAAGAATAATTTAAGGAAGTTTATATGTACAGTTTTTTCCGTAGCCTGCAAGCTGAGATGTTTTTCAATAAACAAAATAGTAATTATTTATTTTTAAATTTTATAATGCTATAAAAAAAATCATTTTAGTGCATTAAAAAATATATTTTAAACCAAAAACTCTATTGCACCGCGTTTCCGTTTCTTCGATCTTGATATTTCGCGAACTCTACCAAGTCTATCCCGTCCTATACCTTCATGGCAAATCTTAACCAAAATTGGAGCAAAGAAGCATTGTCTAGTTATCTTTTCCAAGAAATAGAGACTAACAAATTTAACAAATAGTGTTTAATTAGTGCAATGAATGATTGTCAAGTAGCTGTTTTACGTTCAATTGAATTCTAATTACTAATTGTAGCCTCTTCTAATACGTCTCAATTTTATTCCTTCATTCAGAATAAGTATCGAGAAGTAAATAGATTTATGTAGAAAATTGTAATTAGGGATAAATTTTAAGCTCAGAATAACACAACAAACATAACACATTTTTTTAAAGCAAAACTATCTTAGTACAGGGAAGTGCGAGGAAACAGGGTAGGTTTATGGGCTGATAGGCTAAAAATAGAGATATTCACGTTTTACAACATTTCACCAAATCACTATTCAATTACAAGATTGTAAACACAGCTTGTTATTCAGCTTATGTTCTTGTTGTTGCACCAGCACAGCATTTCTAACGAGAAGCTTAGCTGTAAACGTTGTTTGTAGAAAACCATCCTTTCAGTAAGAGGTCTTGTAACACGGGATTCGTTTTAAACAAAGTAATTTTACTCGACCTATACTAGATTGGTTATGAAACCAACCTAACCTTTACAAGGAACAGCAGCGTAAACCATTTATGATAGGGCAGTTGTTCAGTTTTTTGAAAAAATATTCCAAATTTACTAATTTCATACATAGGTACAATCATTGTTACCAGTTGTTCATATTGCTGAACTAATTCGAATATTTTTGCAACTGGGATATTCCTAAAAATTGTAATTGTATGAACTTTTTGTCAATTAATAAACTTCTACGTGGAGTTGCTCTCGCCAACATTCCAAATCTACATTCTATGTTGTGACGTTTCCTAGGACATAGTAGGTGGTATTGCTCTCACAGGCATGGGCATACATCATATGTTATCACACGCGTGTGTGTGTGTGTGTGTGTGTGAGTGTGTGTGTTTTATACACGTCTAGGGCCGGCAAGTGCGTGTCGCGTGTGTACAGAGGTCACGCACATCAATCTCGGGTCAATAAGTAATTGTTGACCCCCTTGTTAGATAAGCGTTCACTGTCTAAGGAAAGGGGTTTTAATATTTCCGACCATGTATTTGTTTTATTTATTTATTTTTTTTTTTGTACTGCACTGAGAGCAAAAATCACAGTTAGAAATGAAATTTAAAGATACTTTGATAGGTACATATATTTTATTCACGTTTTAAACTCCAGTAATGTTTAACCGGTCTGCAATCCACCCTTAACTCCACCTATGTGTGTTTGAGTATCGGTATAAAGTATCCTTAAGTTTTTTAGGAGTTCTAGTACTCCCATGGTGGCTTTGCTCACGACTATTAAATAAAAGAAATATTAAATGTTGCATCTGATAAAAATATTATTTAAAAAAAATTACGGATATACCTAATTTGAAAATAAAATGTATTTCTATTAAATTCATTTTTATAAAATCAACAAAAAGGGAGAACTTCTTCATTTACAACATTAACCGTCCTTCCACCAGGAGCATCGGACAACCCATGAAACCAACTAAATAATGTTTTTGGCTATCATGACTAGTTCCCTACCACCTAGGACAACGTAACCTGCTGACACTGATGACGACCCTCATTCAAGTCTAGTTCCCTACCACCTATGACAACGTAAGCCGCTGACAAGGATGGCGACCCTCATTCACGTCTAGTTCCCTACCACCTATGACAACGTAAGATGCTGACAAGGATGACGACCCTCATTCACGCCTAGTTCCCTACCACCTAGGACAACGTATGCTGCTGACAAGGATGACGACCCACATTCATGTCTAGTTCCCTACCACCTAGGACAACGTAAGCTGCTGACAAGGATGACGACCCTCATTCACGTCTAGTTCCCTACCACCTAGGACAACGTAAGCTGCTGACAAGGATGGCAACCCTCATTCACGTCTAGTTCCCTACTACCTGGGACAACGTAAGCTGCTGACACTGATGACAACCTTCATTCACGTCTAGTTCCCTACTACCTGGGACAACGTAAGCTGCTGACAAGGATGACGACCCTCATTCACGTCTAGTTCCCTACCACCTAGGACAACGTAAGCTGCTGACAAGGATGGCAACCCTCATTCACGTCTAGTTCCCTACTACCTTGGACAACGTAAGCTGTTGACACTGATGACAACCTTCATTCACGTATAGTTCCCTACTACCTGGGACAACGTAAGCTGCTGACACTGATGACAACCTTCATTCAAGTCTAGTTCCCTACTACCTGGGACAACGTAAGCTGCTGACAAGGATGACGACCCTCATTCACGTCTAGTTCCCTACCACCTAGGACAACGTAAGCTGCTGACAAGGATGGCAACCCTCATTCACGTCTAGTTCCCTACCACCTAGGACAACGTAAGCTGCTAACAAGGATTACGATCCTCATTCACGTCTAGTTCCCTACCACCTAGCACATCGTAAGCTGCTGACAAGGATGATGACCCACATCCACGTCTAGTTCCCTACCACCTAGGACAACGTAAGCTGCTGACAAGGATGACGACCCTCATTCACGTCTAGTTCCCTACCACCTAGGACAACGTAAGCTGCTGACAAGGATGGCAACCCTCATTCACGTCTAGTTCCCTACTACCTTGGACAACATAAGCTGGTGACACTGATGACAACCTTCATTCACGTATAGTTCCCTACTACCTGGGACAACGTAAGCTGCTGACACTGATGACAACCTTCATTCAAGTCTAGTTCCCTACCACCTAGGACAACGTAAGCTGCTAACAAGGATGGCGACCCTCATTCACGTCTAGTTCCCTACCACCTAGCACATCGTAAGCTGCTAACAAGGATGGCGACCCTCATTCACGTCTAGTTCCCTACCACCTAGCACATCGTAAGCTGCTGACAAGGATGACGACCCTCATTCACGTCTAGTTCTCTACTACCTGGGACAACGTAAGCTGCTGACAAGGATGACGACCCTCATTCACGTCTAGTTCCCTACCATCTGGGACAACGTAAGCTGCTGACACGGATGACAACCCTCATTCACGTCTAGTTCTCTACTACCTGGGACAACGTAAGCTGCTGACAAGGATGACGACCCTCATTCACGTCTAGTTCTCTACTACCTGTGACAACGTAAGCTGCTGACAAGGATGACGACCCTCATTCACGTCTAGTTCCCTACCATCTGGGACAACGTAAGCTGCTGACACGGATGACGACCCTCATTCACGTCTAGTTCTCTACAATCTGAGACAGCATATTCTTCCGACACGGATGACGACCCTTACCCACGTCTATTTCACCATTTATGCCGTTACCCAGGCAACCGCTACCATTAACAAAAACTAGGTGACCTTTAGTAGTAGTAGAGTCGGGGGACGGGGTCGGACCTGGGCTATGTTGGCCACCAATCGGCGGAGATACTTCGCGCCGGCGTGCGCCTCTCTCAACCCCCGTCCGATCAATATTCTCGTCTTTTACAACGAGCCTCAGACTCGTTCACTCCACGGGCATGTGGCTTTTTTAGTTGTTCAGTTTACTTGTGGTTTTATTTTCCGTCGGAAGATCCGCAGTTGCCGAGGTGGAGGACGGCCACGTCGCCCGGAAGGTGAGTTATATTCTGTGTTTCACCTAGTCACAGAAGTCTCGAGGCTGGACTTGGTGGCATGCCATGTGATCGATCATTTAGCAACCCTCAGACCTCATCAGAGAAACAGAAACTATACGAATTTATCATGTGTGTGACAACTAGACCTCCAATCGTATATGTGTGTCGATACTTACACCGACTGATACTCTTTGAGGATGTTGTCAGTTCATTTTAACATAACCTTAATTAGAAAGACATTTGAATGTAGGTCAATAGCAGGTTAGGTGGCCGCTAAATTATAAGTCAAAAGTAATAAAAATGTGTTTTTAGTTATGTGGTGAGTTCTCTCCATACTGGTTAGTGCTTACAGTATTTTATGATAGTCACGTTATCTCTTTACTACTATGTGAGCTGGTACTTCAGAAACGTACATAGTATACTGGGGAGTCACCTTAAATCCTTACTTCTTATTTCTTTCAACGTATCAGTAGTAGCTTAAAACATATGTTTTTTCTCCTCAATAGTTTCATTTTATAGTTGTTGAAAAACGTTGTAAATTGTATTACCTACAAAAGAACTGTATACATAGTCCTCTTTGTAATAAAGCTATGTCCCTTTTTTCACCGTGTTCAACGCTTTAGTCAAGAATTTTGGAAAATATATTTTGGCTTAAACTTATCGTTTTAATTGTGATTTTTTGGGCGTTCGCGAAAATGCATAATTGTGTTCATTAGTTTATTTTTTGACAAATTATATGAAATGGTCATAGGTTTTTTTTTTATATTTTATTATGAATAAGATATTTTCAATTTTTGTTTACATGGAACACTTATTGTGTTTCATTATAGATTATATATGTTGAACGTGCTTTATTAGGAATCTATAAGGACGGTGATCACGAGTGATGTTTAATTTGGTTTGTGTTTTTAGTAAAAATATTTCGCTAACGTATCCATCCTCATAATGAAAATTAATGATATGGGTTTAATAACATGTATAAATATATACATTTGTTGGTAAATGGGTCAATCTTGCATTTTACTAAAGACTGTATATAAAAATCCGTTTTATAAATTAAAATATTATCAAATTAGAACAGGAACAGTATACTTGAATACACCATGATTGTAATCGCTAAAGTTAGAAGCTGAGGCCCTGTACAATCGATGGCTACACGTCATTCGTCTACATGGAGCGGCGCCGACCAAGGTGCAGGCTACGAACTACATGATACATGATACACGGTGGATCTGGTTTGTCTCTCTAAACTATGACGTCATTGGAACTATTAACACTAGTGTTCACTGGATTACTGTCGAAACATAAAATTACATTACCACAACCATCCTCGTTGTACGTTACGGTTGAAGTAGGCTACCAAGAATATTTGGTAACTTAGAAAGAAGGACAAATCCTTGGAAAACTCGGCAAAATCACATTAGCTAAAGACAACGTATTTAAATGGGTTATCGTTAAACGATAAAATGATGAGCAACACAAGAATTAATTATTATAGTAGTCTATTGTGAAGAACGAGGTGTTTTTGCGTGAAACATAAAGTTCTGATACAATGCTGTTAAGATCATACAGTTAAACGCTCTAACCTTCGTGTTATTAAAAATTATTTACGATCTTTTGGGGATTTGTTCATAAAGGGAATAAGCGATTACCGCAGGTCTTATGGTAAAACCTAGACCCGGAACCATTTTTTGTTCATTTTGATGTTGCCAGTGGTTAAAACCATCGATGGTTAAAACACCACCCCTTTAAAGCGTATGCAGATTTTATCCGTTAGCACAACAATTAGAGAAAAACATTTCAATTTTGATTAAATTTAACGTTATTATAATATACCAACATTTATTCAAACTAGTTCGTGTACCACCATGGTCAGACTAAGGGTACAAGGGTTTATGTGGTAAAATTTGCGGTTTTCAATTCTTGTATCCTCTAAACGAATCGGTACAGCTTACAAACATGTAATTGTTCAGCAAAACCCTTATAGGTCGACTCATGCATTTCGTCTTATGCACACTCCTCCTAGATGGCTAAAGCATCCGTTTTCACATTTTGCATGGTGATAAAGACCATAACGGTGATTGCCAACCTATATATGGCGTTAAAAACTTCTACCAAGATTCCACCCCTATGGGATCTTAATGTTTCAAAGTATTCTGGATGCAGTTTGAATCGTAAACAAAGGCTTAAGATCAGCTGTTAACTTTTAAATGCAGTTCATCAGGAAATGGTTGATAGAGTAATCGTAAATGGCAATCATCGTCAAGCTTTTATTTTAATGTGTGATTAGTTCTTGGTTTCAGTTTCAACAAGATTTACTATTAAATACTTACAAAACAAGTTTAACTATTACGTGTGTTTCAGTCGTATATCAGTGTTATCTTGCAAATCAAACATTCTTAATAATGCAAACTTTAGACAAACTTTAGCTATTTCCTTCACATTTTATATTATTAGGAAACGATTCAATTTAACAACAATTGCAATTCAACAACAATACTTAGGTCTATTTAAGAAAAGCTTAGTTAATTTTTTTGATAACTAGAACCACATGTTAGAATGTAAACAAAATTGACATGTTTACATGTAGTCTATACATATTTTTCCCAAAAAATGGTTGATATGGTGTGCTTTCAATACCGTTGGTAGCAAAAGGTTCGAACTTTTCAAAATGAACAAGCATGATTATAGGCAGCACAGCAACGTTAGCCAACACCCGCCCGGCGGCCTCATCTTCTGACCTCACCATCAGGAACAATAATAACAATTCAGCCATGGAGAACAAATTTGATCATAGTTTTAAGTCTCTGGAATAGTAATAAAAAATGTACACCTTTTTCTACACTAAAATCAAAGAGTTGCAAGTATGAATAGTCAAGCGTAAACTTTGCAGGAATTTTGAGAGCTTTTTTTTATACAAAGTGTAGAAGAGACCCAAGTATACAGAAGAGCTACAATGCTTGGATCTTGGATCCGGCAGAGCAAATGATCATTGCATAAGTTGAGCATGCAATACTTCATTAGTATCGATCTTGTCGACACATATTATAACGACCATGAGATGAATGTTTCGCAAGATTACACAGGAGTTGTCTAATCAGATTAATATATTAATCGACGAAAACCAGAACAAGGGTTCTTGGAATTGAGATTCCAAAGACAAAACTCACTTGATGCTAATACATTTTTGAAACAGAATATAAAATTGTGTGAACAAAATGAATCGTTGCGTGGTTAGATTCTAGGTTATCACCAGCTAAACTATTCCAATATGTTATAGAAAAGTTGGTTTACCACCTCAGAGGTTTAAACCTTGAATAAAATTACAGGTCAAAGCATATAATGTCATCACTGTGTTTTGACTCCCCTTTATTAGGAAACAATAATTTATTGTCAACAATATATTAATCACCCTAACAGTTTATATCTCCACAAATTTTGTCTCAATTTCAAATTGTTAATGATATTCCGGAAGCTTGATGGTGAGCGTCAATGGTAATATAATGCGATTACTAAGCAGAGCTCTTACACAACAATCCTGCTTTTGCTTTACAAATCTCCGTTTACTCTTTCTAAACGGCTGAAGTGATTCGAACGGAATTTAGCACAGTCATAGTAACCAACTATGGTAAGGTATAAATCTGATATGGTACAAATCTAACTACAGTTGTTTTCCCTTCGTGAATTTAATCTTTTAGAAAATTAGCATGGTCCTTATGGGTTGATAACAGGATTTGCAAGATAAATAAAAAGGTAAACAAAAGAGTTGTAACATATGTCTATTACCAGCTTACTACAAATTCAGGCCAAAAGGGAAGAACGATCGGATTGATACAGTTAAGCACAATTTACTGGACCTACTAAATAAATAACCAATTAGGTTTATGCATCATCGACTTTAGATACTGAAAATAGGCTTTAAGTTTATGTTAAACAAATGCTGTATACTATTTATTGACTTCGGATACTACAAGTAGTCACTCCATTTACTTGAACCAGACGACATTTACATTTACATTGTTTTAATTCTTGTAAACAGAACTTATAAACCAATACATAACAAGTATGGAAGAGAATGCCTTAGCATGCCACAGTATTTTCATTAATAACCATTAGAGATATAATCACAGAACTGTACAATGCTCTTACCTGTCCTCAGTTAGGATGGTGCAGGTCACAGGAGTCAACGTGCAATGTTCATCGTAACTTCCTTTACGCTTGGTGTCGTTGAAAATATAAAACAGAAGCTTAAATCAAAGTAACAGTAGGTAACTTTAACGACTGAAGAATGAGTTCAATTAGACAATTACTATTTTTAAACACGCTGCCTACCATCTCAAGTTTTAAATAGACTATAATTTCATTGGAAGTATTTTTACTTATCTCATCCTATATTTGATCCGAACTTAAAATTTTTTATTGTTAAGTAATTATCGGTATTTTGTGCAATCTGAACATATAAGAGTGAAAGCCTCACTAACTGACTGACCGATCTATCAATAAATCCTCTAGAAGGCTACCTAAATACCTTACCCGGATAGGAGGCTTTGGTATACTTGTTATTCAGGTTGAAAATTGGAAAGCTAAATATTTTTCACATTAATTATTTAAGGGTGGCGCACTAGAAAACTTCCCCCCAGACAATTTCCAAGTTTACTCTTATGGGCATTCAATTTTAGCTATTTGATGAGTGTATACCATATGTTTGGAAATTGTATATAAAGATTGAGATATTCTAGGTTAACCTAATTAAAAAATCGAAACCCGCTGTTCTGAATCAAAAACTGTTTAGCCATAATAGTATATGTCATCACTAGGTCCCAAAGTGACTCTTTTTGGCCCGAGGTCAAGTTTTACGATAGAGGCGAAGCCAAGGTCGGAAAATGAGTGAGGGTTAAAAAGTCACTTTTTACCCGTGTGGTTAACTATATTTTTCGTTATTTAGCATCATAATTAATTAACAAACAAAGACAGAAAACTAAATAATTGTTATGTAAATC